TGATTTGATTTTAGAGGCTATTGGGCCAATTTCTGATCTGGACGGTCTTTGTGAAGGTAACACCAGAAGATGTTCGCAAATTCAACCTTCCACCAGAATGTGTTAACAAAACTCCATCTGGTGAAACATTTGTTAAACCAAATCTGCAGAAGGTTAGATTATTCCAAACAATGTGAATTTTATTATAGATAATTATTTCTCTATAAATACGTTAACTTTAGAGGTTTTATTTTATTTCCTCTTGATGTATACTTCATATGTTTAACTAATTAGAAGAATGAAAAATTTCAGGGGATACTTCCAGAAATCTTGGAAGAGCTATTAGCTGCTCGTAAACGAGCAAAAGCAGATTTAAAGGTGATTACGATAGTTTTCTTTAATTGCAAGTTTCTGCCTCATGTTGCTATTGGTTCTATATTATACCATCAAAATATTAGTTGCTCATCTTCTCTTTTGATCACTTTTTTGCCTCCATTTTCTTTTGACTTATATTTTTTATACAAATCTAGGAAGCAAAGGATCCACTTGAGAAAGCTGTTTTAGATGGTCGACAGCTGGCCTTGAAGGTAGGATCATTACTGTTTTGTTATCATTCATTTTCAAATGGTAAATTATTGCATTCAGGGGTGTAATTAACATGTTTCCTTATTTGCTTTTAATAACAGTGATCTCTTTGATTTATTATTCTGTTTCAGATAAGTGCAAATTCTGTATACGGATTTACAGGAGCTACTGTCGGTCAGTTACCATGTTTAGAGATTTCTTCAAGTGTTACAAGCTATGGTACAATAAAATGTCTCTTTTTGACAGTATTGCTAGATAAAAGTTCCTTCTTTTTAAAGTTTTGTTTGATCTAACACATTGGTTACCTTGTAAAGGTCGACAAATGATTGAGCACACCAAAAAACTTGTTGAAGATAAATTCACAGTGCTAGGAGGCTATGAACACAATGCTGAGGTACATCATCTCAAATCCTCTTGTTGTAATGTTTTATTGTTGAAGACTTATATTTGTAATGTCGTAAACCCATTTGCTGGATATGATATATGAATCAAAACAGGTTAAGATTTGGTTGATTGTTTAGATCTGGAATCTCAGGGGTTTTTTATTTGAAAATTTCTTTAGTTTCAGATGCACTCATCACATGGATTAGTTTCTCTCCTCTATAATCTACTTCGAAGTTTTCCCTAGTTGAGGCTGGTTTGTCTTGAATGTGCTTGGCAATTTCACTTTCTCTCCTGGCCTAGGGAGTTAGAGTGAAATAGTATTTTACTTGCATTGACATTTGGGCCTGCATGTGTGTATTTGCTGTTGCTTGATAGTCTTGCTTCACATTATTGTTCTGAACGATTGTGTGAGAAGGAGAACTAATAATGTTTTATGATCAGGTTATATATGGGGACACAGATTCTGTGATGGTACAATTTGGTGTGCCTGATGTAGAAGCCGCAATGAACTTGGGGAGAGAAGCTGCAGAATACATCAGTGGAACCTTCACAAAAGTAAGTGTTTTCTTATTTTAATTTGTGCTTCATCTTCTTTTATTTAAAATTGAAGAAAGCCCACACAGGCTACAGTGCAAATAGGGAGGGGGGAAGTGTTCCTGTGCAACTGGTTGAACCTTAATTTTTTACACTTGGGTAAAATATTCTGGTCATCTAGAATCTTGAATTGGTGTAACATGGAGGCTACTGTTTGGGATCATTGATGCCACAATTTATTTAAAGAATTAGCAAATTATCAATTGAAACTTATTTTTGTACTTTTTTCAACCTCTATTTTACTTATGAGTTTATATGCGTTGTTAACATTTTTTTTTCCTTTTTCCTGGATGGCCTTAACTTGATGTTTTTAGCCCATCAAACTAGAGTTCGAGAAGGTTTATTATCCCTATCTTTTGATCAGCAAGAAAAGATATGCTGGTTTGTTTTGGACAAATCCACAAAAGTTTGACAAAATGGACACTAAAGGTAAAGAAGAAGTTTCTCAACCATTTGAGCTTCTGAAAATTTTGTTGACTTGACTACTGATTCATGTTTTACTGTGAACAGGCATTGAAACTGTTCGAAGAGACAATTGTTTATTGGTCAAAAACCTTGTCAATGAATGCCTTCACAAATTATTGATCGATAGAGACATTCCTGGTGCAGTTCAATATGTCAAGAATACTATTTCAGATCTTCTCATGAATCGAATGGATTTATCACTTTTGGTTATTACTAAGGTGAGACAAATATCCTGGATTCCTGTGCCGTCACCCTGGTGCTTAGATGGTTTAACATTCTCCTTGGGCTGTCTTTAAAAGTTTTTATAATGCTTGTATAAATATATGCCAGTCACTTTAGTTGGTTTTGTTCCTGCTCCTATATAACAGGGTCTTACAAAAACTGGAGATGATTATGAGGTAAAAGCCGCTCATGTTGAACTTGCTGAACGCATGCGCAAGGTTGGTATTTTGCTTTTTCTTGTTACATTTTCAGCATGCTTCATATAATATATGTTTGAGGTACCCCATTATAGTACATAGATATCATGTTAGCGTTATCTTCTTGCTGATTCTGACATATTTGTTAAACAGTCAATATTGCATGCCAAGTATGCATCTTATCATTTATTGCTGGAACACTTAAAGATGCCATAGTACTTGATGATTTTTTTTATTTTCTAAGTGATTTAATGCGTTGTTGCCTTTAGTAAAGGCTGGGAATATAGTTCTTCTAAGGCAGCCCATTTGATATCCTCTATAAAATGCTTATGATTTTAGAGCATTAGTATGATTGTTTAATCTATAATTGACAGCGAGATGCTGCTACTGCTCCAAATGTTGGGGATCGGGTGCCATATGTCATTATAAAAGCTGCAAAAGGCGCCAAGGTAATCTTGCTGGCAATTTTTTCTTAAAAGAAATATTATTCCCTTCTCTTGGAATTGATTATATTATATGGTATTCTGGTATCAAATATTGTCCATGAAATTCAGGCTTATGAGAGGTCAGAGGACCCAATCTATGTGCTAGAAAATAACATCCCCATCGATCCTCAATACTATCTTGAAAATCAAATTAGCAAGGTTTGTTCAGTGTTTATACTCTCAATTGTAGTCATAGAAGTTTGTTCCTTTTCATGTTTTAACAATATTGTTAATGCAACAGCCTCTTTTAAGAATTTTTGAGCCCATTTTGAAGAATGCCAGCAAGGAACTTCTCCATGGAAGTCACACAAGATCCATTTCCATCTCAACTCCTTCAAACAGTGGAATAATGAGATTTGCAAAGAAGCAACTTAGTTGCATTGGCTGCAAAGCACTAATTAGGTATCATTGATTGCTCATATGTTTTAGTTTTTATTTAATGGATTAATAAGTTCTTGCATTTTTCTTTCTTTTGAAGAATTTGAAGAATCTTCATTTGGTAATCTTTGATCTTTTGACTACTATTCTTAATTTAAACATGATCTCAAATTTGTATGACTCTTTGCTTCATAAGCTAGGTTTGCTCTGCTATTTTCTTTGAATTCTTTATAGAAGCATGGATAATCTGAATGCTTAGTAATGGCATAACCTGAATGCTTAGTAATGAATAATCTGAATTTCATTGGTAAATATGTAGGATTAAAAATGTTTAGAATTATCTGCAAGAACTTTGGAGAGGCAGCCTTCTTATTTGATTACTGCACAAGCATGCAAATGTATGGCATATCTTGCATGTATAAATACCAATGTCATTTTTCTGCAAGGTATCTAACATTACACCATATTGAGTTTTCCCTCAGCAATACAGATCGAACACTCTGTTCTCACTGCAAGGGAAGAGAGGCAGAACTGTACTATAAAACAGTTTCTCAAGGTGGGCACTTTTTCCCTTATTGTTTTTCTGCTGTGAAATAATAGTATTGATTACTGGAGGAACCAAGGTTTTTTGATGATGTGATTGTATGGAGTGACTGCAGTGTCAGAGCTAGAGGAGCTTTTTGGGAGGCTATGGACACAGTGCCAAGAGTGCCAAGGCTCTCTTCACCAGGATGTTCTCTGCACTAGGTTTTACTATCTCCTTTCTCTTTGTTGTTTGTGATGAACAATGTTGTTGTTTTAGGTAGAGGTTTTTCTCTGGAAATTCTTGGTAAAATTGGGTTTTTTATAAGGGCTTGCAATACCTTAATATAGTGCACATATAAAAATACCAATATAGGACCATGCTTATTCCGTGATTTATTTGGAAAAGAGAGGGATCTACGGGATGCATAGGCTGAGTATGACAGCACTTGATTGCCTTGGCCTTTCTCTTTTATTTTAGTTTTGAGCAATACTTTATCATGTTTTCAGTCGGGATTGTCCAATATTCTACCGGAGGAAGAAAGCACAGAAAGATATGGTAGAAGCCAAGCGGCAGTTGGACAGATGGAACTTTTAAGACTCTTCAAGCTTGTTTTCAGTTGTCCAGTAAATGCATTTTCCTCAATCAATGAGCATTTCATGACTTGCGAATAGATAAGCAGGATATCCCAAACAATCTAGTCATGAAAAAAGGTGAAGCTAAAGTGATCTATCCTGAACTTTGATGCAAAAGATTAGGAGCAGGAGGAGATTTCCATTTTGGAAGTTGATGGAGATGGAACTCTAGATAGATCATCCTTTGTAATGGTCTTAAATTTGTTCTTGTACCTGTTCATCGGAGTGTGAAATCTGCACTAGCTTTACCACTTATGCAGTCACTCTAGCTTTTACAATTTTGCAGGTGGACTGTGGCTGAGGGCTGTATATGTTGAAAAGTTCCTTTGAAGCTTCTGTTCCTCTAGGTTTCGATACTTGCAGGCTTTGACTTGTAAAATGTTGAGCAATGTAAGAAATTTCGAAGTTTTCATTTCATTCCACTCCAATACAGTGTGCATACTGGTACTTATTCATGGAGGCTTACTGGTTTTTATTGATCCTTGTAAAGTTATTGTAAATTATCTTTGATACAGTGCCATTACAAGATGGTACAAAAAATGGGCAGTTTCCATTTTCCAATGCTTCACATTTATTCAAGAGAACTTCACTGAAGAAAGTATTCAAAAGACTCAAAACCTAAAGATTACATATTATAATGAGCAGAACAATGTCCAAAAATGGAGGAAGAAACCAAGTCTAGTCATCAAAATAGATTTGTTTTCATTTAGATCAAGCTTTCTGCACAGAAAAACTAAGAATGAGGTCTTTTACTTCTTCATTGACAGCCCTATCAATGGCGGTTCGCCCATCTGCATCCTTGACATTGTAACTCGCTCCAGCTCTCAACAGCTCTTCAATTTTCGGCTTGTCGCCTTCCGAGGCAGCCAGCATCAACAAGATGTCTACTGGGTGGATGTTCTGGTTCAAAAGAGCTTCCATCTTATCATAGGAGCCTTCAACAGCAAGCATCCCCATGTAGTTAAAGTACTGCAAAACAGAATAGCTTCTTCAATAGACCCAAAGAAAGGTTCTCCATTCAACAATACAAGAAAAGAGTAAACTTTGGTTTATCATGATGAATTCAAACCACACTAGAAGAAAAGGAAACACAAGTGCTTTCTTCCCTTTCAGATTTATTATCAAGACAAATAAGAAGACAACAGGAGATTCACACCAACTGCTTCATTACCATAGCTAAAACTATCTTCGATAATGGCAGAAAATACACCAAAGAACACAAATAGTAAAGTGTTGCAGCATTGATGGTACTTCTTGGAACAATAAGAAGAAAAGTGCCAGGACAACTAATGACTTCTGTAATAGGAATTGACATCGTAATACATGACAATGATGTTGTAATGTGCTTTGAAATACGCATGATTTATAGTATTTCCAATCAATCTTTACAATATGTTTTCTGTTGTCTTTGACGATTAAAACTTATTCTGTAGACTAAATCGGCTATCAACAGGCTTTTTCATGTTTCCATTCACAAAGGGTTATGATATCCATGCTCATATCTTGACAAGGTTTATTGGATGTCCATTTCTGTTTATGCATTTCTTCTAACCATAGCTAAGAAAGGCGAAACAATGAAAATTTGATTAAAAGGAATGTTATTTTAGTTCTGCTCACAACAATCTCTAATAGCTTTCCCAACCAAGGATATCCCATTATGCTATTAACTCTATATTAAACAAAACTAGTACCATAAAAAAAGCAATGAAACACCGCTAAAAACCCTTCAAAAGTTCATTTAACATTTAATCCTCTATGTATATGGCTGATGACCAGTGATCATAAAATCATCTCAAAGTATAAAAAGAGACCATGTTTTCTTCTACCCCTTCATCAACCATATCCTCTAATTCCAAGAAGTAGAACTGATGAGAAAGAAAGCATTAGAACTGAAAATGTTAAATTCATTGACATTTAAACTATAGCTTTGGTGAACAATTAGATCCTTGTCAGGTAGGCAAACTAAAACCTTTCAAAGTGAAATTCATTTCTAATATGTAATGTCTAGGCCCTTCCTGGCATTGGTTGAATTCCCTAGCCTTTGTCTTCATTACTAACAACTAATAAGTAACAAGAAAAACAGCAATAAAATGTGAAAAGAACCCATTAACCAAATAATCTCAGACGTCCTATCACCTGAACAAATTGAAGAAAAACAACCTGCTGAACAAAGAAAACAAAAGCATAAAGAGCCAACCTGCTCAACATCATCTCTGTCAAAATCATCCCTAGTCTGGCTGCCATAAATGCCAGCACCCTCAGCATCAACACCATTCTTACCAAACCTGAACCAGCATTCTGTTTTTGAACCATTAGAGGGTCCAATTCGCGAAGGCCTCACCCAAGAGAGAGAGTTTTGAGTACCCAGGAACTTGGAACTGAATTTTGGGAAAGAAGGAAGTGAGTTTATGGGTTTTGAAGTAAAAGGTATTTGGACAGTACATGGGATAGAATTCATGTTTCTTCTGATTTTTCTCCGTGAGACAGAAAGTGAAGTAAATTAAACTGGTTTTGAACAACTTCAGTTTCTATCCACTCATGTCTTTGGAGAAAGAAATATTTGTCTGTCTTTTGTTCTTTTGCATTGTTATCCTGCATGACTGTTGTTGGCCGTTGATTTATTTGACAATCTCAACATAGTAGGATGGTGAAACTTGGCATATAAGCATAGTGTTGTTTAGTCGATTTGAGAAAGGGACGTTACCATTTTCTTGTCTCCATTGATAAAACTTGGCTAACCTCTTTTTGGTGAAACAATCATCTTTATGAAAGATAATTGTCTTAAAATCATTTGATTGTTATCTTTTACTAACTTTGACATTGTAATCTTTGTTGGGTGCGGAAGGAAAATGGAGTCAAAGGTCATAAAGGATCCCAACAAGCCCAATGAAAGTGGGAAAAGTAGGCCACTAGCAGAAACTAGCCTTAGCCAGTAGGATACTGAAGCCCAAGAAACAAAACCCATAAGCCTGTGTCTCTAGGTTCTGGTTATGCTCATTGAAGAAAAAGGTCTAAGTTAGGATAATTGGATTGCTTTCCTTATTGGCAGCCATTGATTAGCTTTGTTCACTGAACATGGAGCATTGGGACCAAACATTTCAGCCTATTCAAGCTACAGACAGCTCCCAAAGTCAAGAGACATGATCCATGAAACAAGGATATCTGCCTAACTTCTATCATTTCACCTTACCAACAGTACAAAATCTGTTATAGTCATAAAAACTCCTTGTTTTGCAGCAGGAGCCCACTGTCTTCATTCTCTTTAAGGGTTCTTTTGGACAACATGAAAATATTTTTTGAGAAATATTTTCAACACTTTCAAATATTAAAGAAGAAAAAACAGATTTGGGTATAAAATATTTTTAGAATCAATACAAAAAAATGATTAACATGAATAGAATATCACCCTCACTCTATTTTCCTTTGCTCTCCTTCCTCCCTAGACCTTTTCTTTTAATATTACTTCATCATTTTTCACTTTTTTTTTTGTTAAATAAGTAAATCTCATTCTGTTAATGAAATCTTTAATGGGATTTAATTCTTTAATTCAATCCATAGACCCCAAAAAATGCCCACTTTTGGGTAAGGTAGCTGTTAACTTTATTCTAAGTTCTCTTCTAGGTGTAGCTAAATACAAAGGCACTAAAAGAGAATTATTCTGATTATCCATTTTGACCCAATTGAAAATGCTGTAAGCTTATTATCATCTGTCAACTTTTCACTCTTATAATTCTTTTTTCAGGAATAATTAGTCCATGGCTAGTTGGCAACTAATCCAACAGCTGTGAGCGAGCATCTTTATGTTTCATTTATTTTGTTTCATGCCCAAAGAGGTAAACTTGAAAGAAAATTCAATAATCCGTTCACATTCTCCATAGGCTAAGGATAATGGGCACCAGTCATATTTTCCCCATGACCCCATTGGAACAAAGGAAAGAAATCAACCCCACAGCCTGCCTCCATGCCTGGAAAGCACTCAAGTTGCTTACCAGACCTCACCTCACCCTCCTCTGCTGATTCTTCCTTGCCCATTCTTGCAGTAAAGACATGAAAAAGAAAGTAACAGCTTACCAAAACTTTCCAGGAAAACTCACTTTTCCTTTTTCTAGTGTCATGGCATCGGTTTAACAGTTACTTTGCCTGACATGAGACTCATCAGTTTTCCTACCATACATAAAAGTGTGTATATTAGAGAATAAGACTGTTGAAATGCAAGGAGAAACAACGAAAGTATTGAATGTGACAATGTCAGGAACCTAATCAAAAGGAGTGTGTAAAAAGACTGCATAACTCACTGTTCTATCCTGGTGAACGGTAGGAAATTTGACCCTACTGTGCACCAAACAACATTAAAATATAACCTATGTAGTTAAAAGAAAAGAGGCAGAGTGGTTAGGAGCTTAAATGTTTTAACCGCAAGCACATGAATGGAATGAGCAGGCCATCATTTAATCCTCCAACCAGACAAAAATCTAACGCTGTTCACTTTAGATAAAGAACATGAGGCAAAGAACTCATGTGGAGATACTAGGTCTAAGGCCAAACACCAAATGGCCCAGCCTGGAAGAACTTTCCCCATCAAGACAACAACACCAAGAACGACCTCTCTTCATCTACAAGCTTCCCTGAATCCTATCAGACAAAGCATGCATAGATCAAAATCCAGTGCCAAAAAGGTCCCGGATGAAATGGCTGCACACCCTCCTGTCGAAATAGGCACCAGAGGCACTGTGGGATCCTTGGTAATGCTAGAGATTGAGTACTTCAGCCGGCTGGAACTAAGCTGCCGAGATGGCTCAGAGAAGCCTCATCCCAATGTCAGAGATTTCGCTTCCTCTAGTAGTCACTCCAGACCAATTGTCGGGCCTGTTGTAGCAACTCAGAAGAAGAAGAAGAAGAAGAAGAAGATAGGAGGCAGCAAGCTCCTACCAAGCATGTGTTCCATGGTGGAAATTTCAGAGAACAGGCCAGTTGGGATTTCAGGGTTCGGTTATAGGAACCTGAAATCTGATGTGAAGAAGTTGCAGGTCTAGACAATGCTCTCAGAAAGCTTAGAGAACCCAAGCTTCTTGAGACGATTTGTTATAGGGCTAGCCCATGCTCTATCCGGATTTCCACACTTTATGTCCACAACTTCAACAATGTTAGATACCTTTTTGTCACTTTTCTGTCTGTTAGGAGTTCTATCCAAAGCAATATTATCAGAGCCAAGCATTGGAATCTGATGGACGTTTTTAGGAAGGCTTTTTGTCTTCTGGGCAGTTTGAGGGCTTTTATAACTCATGCTGTTGCTACTGCCACTGGTGCTTGCTCCGTCCAACGATTTCCTCAACTGTAATCTTTTAGGAGTAGCAGAACCACAGGCAACTGATACAGGAACTGTCTGAGGTTTGTGTCTAAAAGATGCAGGTGTCTGCGGTGCTGGTTTAATGGAGTCCAGTTCCCTTGTCATCAGGGAACTGATTGTCCCAGTAGTCCCCACCTTAACAGATCCTCCACCACCCTTGATAGCTTCTAGTTTTTGAACCATATTTCCTCTATAATTTTAATTAGAGTCTGAGCTATTGTCTTCTTGTATTGTTAGCCTTTCAAAGCCTGTTCTGCAAGATATTGCAACCAAAAAGAATTCCAGGAGCCTGTCATCAGACAACATCGAATGAATTAACAAATGAATTATAACCAATTTCAGTATGTAGCTCATATTCTACATATCAGAGTAACCATTTTCCCAGCAAGTTCTCTTAGTAAACAAGTAGAAAGCTACAGATATTAGTTATTCAAAGAACTAAAGGTGGAGGGTGCACCATTCAAGCTTTAAAGCTGTGCTGTTTTCACCAATTACACAGCAACCCAGTCAAAGCAAATTGAACAAGAAAATCTACACCTATAGTTTATAAAGACAAATGAAAGAGAGCAAACCGTAAGCATAAAAAGGAACATTTTTACAAGGAATTGCTGGAGCAATCTGATGATGGTTGGTAGGTAAGAAGAGAAAAGAAATTTTCCAGGCTTTTAGCCAGAATGAATTGAGTGCTGCTAACCCATCAAAATTTCAGTTTGGTTAGTTCTTGAAATATGAACAAGAAAACTGCAGACTGGGATTCTGAATCAACCACTTAAGCAGTTAATCTTCAAACCAGTTCCCAGATTTTGCATCAAATCACATCAGAAAAATCAAGAATCAAGGAGAAACAGCAGCAAATCCTGAAGAAAATATCATATAAACAAATCAAACCAGAAATAGTAAGAAACTTTACCAAACTCCAGGCAGCCAACAACCCAACAAGTTATGGAATCCAAAACCAAAAAAAAAAAAATCACCAATCTTTGAAGAGATTCAACATCATAAAGGAACTTCCAACAACCAGTAATCATTCCACAATTATATCAGAGACCCCAACAAGTTAAACACCTTATCAGATCATAAAAGACAGCAATCAAAAAGCTTACCACTTTATACCAAGTGCATTAAAGTGTGAACTCAGCAATGTTGGAGATGGCACATTGAACTGAATCTGAGTTATCTGACCCCAACACAACCAAAAAGTGAAACTAAACTAAACTAAAACAAATCCCACCAAATTTTCAAGGCTTTGCAACTAAGATCTTTGAACATTTTTTGTAAGTAACAACTCTCACATGTGTTTTATCATTATGTCACCTTCAGAAACATATCTAACCTTCTTTGCATTTGAAATCTAACTTTTTGCTAAAAGGGTTATGTCTTATTTGTACCTGTCAGAGCAGTCAACCAGCACCAACCATAGTGCAGTAAAACCTGATTCACAACCAGCCACGTTTCAAACAACCCATGGTTGTTTGCCACGTATAAATTTTGAAATTCTAAACTTTGGATAAAGATAGTTTTAGTACACAAATAAAAAATGGTATCTGTTTACAAGTTTAAGAAAACTTGCTGGATTCCATATTAATAATAAAACTGATTTTTTGCCCCAAAATGTTGACTTTTATACACACAATGTGCCCTATCAAACCAACCATTTTTGCTTTTCTTTTGAGTGCAAGGCTTACATTCAATGTACCATGACCATGGGAGGTTGAAAACTTTAGCCTTGTTAGTTATTGTTAGTTATGGTGTGATTTGATCCTTCAACTAATGATTTAGAAATAGAATTTATGTTGATTAGACAGCACCTTAAGCTTATATATTTGTTTTTAGATTTTTTTTAAATATGATTTAAATTTGAATACTCATAACAACACAAAAAACTGTGTTTTTGTTAAAGATTAAAAATCATTTTTAATGTTTAATTGATTATGTATACATTAATCACCAAATTAAAGGAAGATGATTGTAAGGGCAGGTTAGAGTGTCAAATTGTGCTGAGAAATAAATATCTTGATTTTCTTAGAAGCCAGACCACACATTAAGGTGGAAAATGAAATAGAGAAGGACAATTTACTCATTGAATTGAATGAAAGCAAAATATGAGATAAGGAAATGAAGTTTCATGGCCCAAGCAGAAGCCTTTCATTGTGAGTTTTGAACTGTTGATTGGGTTGGTAGGCTTACTCATGGACACTTAAATCCATTGGAGATCCATCAAAGTGGGTCACTCTCACAACATCCAAGCCCAATGAGCAAATTCACAATCTGTTTAAAAAGTAATATTTGAAATTTATCTGTATTTACGACAAATATTAAAAATTTTATCCGAATTCGTTCTAAAACTAAATATAGATACCCGAATCCTATAATATTGAATGGAATAATCATGGATACCAGTACAAAACCAACTTAGTGATGCCTCTATATCTGTCTAAATTTTTCACAAGCACAATAAAATGGGATTAGTTTTGTATATCTATTGTACTTATAACTTGGAGAGACAAAGAATGAGAGAACTCATGACTTGAAGAGAAAAGTTCTTTGAAAAATAGAATACTGAGAACAAGAACACATAGTTGAACTTGGTTCAAAAAGTTTTCAAAGTGCAAAGCATGGTAGAAAAGAGTTCATAATTTGTGTACTTTGAGATGGTCACTCACAATATTTCTTCATATCTAGTTTGGGGTAAAAGTTTAGCCTTTAATATTGAGAGAATTAAGGAAAAACAACATCACATAAATGAATAAAGCAAAATGTTGGTCCACATAAGGGTCCTGTCATTCATTCCCCAATTCCAATTTGTACTTCTAATACCAAACTACATTACATTACATACATTAAGTTGTGGTGGGTAGGCAATGCTAAAACATACCATGTTTTTAATGATACACATTGTATCCCAAAAAGGCAATATATATATATATATTTATAATGACATTTTTACAATCCTATAATAAGGTTGTCTATTGATCTTTTACGTGATCGAAGTAATTGACTTAAGACATTGTAGTTTACACGTTTAATTATGATTTCTAGTTCTAAAATAAAGACGGTGACAAGCTTGGAGGATATTTTGACAATGATTGGACTTGTAATATAAATGATTCCGAAAGCATTTTCGGTTACTTGTTTTCTTTCGGAAGTAGAGTTTTTTTCTTAAAATTCTTAGACGTTATTTTTAGGTGAAAATTTAATTGGTGCACTTGAAGGCATGTAGCCAAATCTTTACCTAGTATTTCACAATGTCTAGGTGGTTTTATCTACCTTGTATTAAATAATCATGAAATGGGCATGACTTTGCCATTACATATACCTAATTATATTGAATAATTATTTAATATTTTACATTTTATTAATAATACCATGGTTGTTAGATTGTTAATAATAAATTAATTTGATATGTCGAAATTTAGGATTCAAGATTAAAAAAGAATTATTAATAAAATTCAAATTTTTGATAATTTTTCCAAAAAAAATTAAAAGTATAATTTTTATAAAAAATTTTAACGATTAAAACGTGTTATCCACACAAACTTAGAGGCAAATCACCAAGAAAAAAAATGCAAATGATTAGTTTCAATCATTATAGGAAAGATGTTCAACCAACAAACCCTAACAAATCTCACCAAAAGCAGGGGCTTTTTTTTTTTTTTTTCTAATCTCTTGATGATCAATCAATGTGCTATCACCATGGTCAAAGGGTCCCATTCACATTAGTGGAACCCCACCAAGAAATTGTCCAATCAAAATTCAATGGTCATGATCTTCTCATCACCTCAAAAAACTAAGCCTTACCCTCCAAATACAAATTAAACGTTCCAATTCATCAAATTTAAACCTTGATTGTTCCATCTAATCCTCTTTTACACCAAATCTTTTATTATTTCAAAAAAAATTCAAAATCCCCTCTTTTTTCTTCTCCTTCGCTTCCTTTTTCTTCACTGTCTTCAGATCTCAGCTTTCTCCCTCTCCCTTAACTCTTACTCCTTCTCTTTCGTCTCCAAAATCCCTCTCTTTGAACTCTCTCTCTCTCTTCATCAAGTTTCTTTCAATGTATGCAAAATCCCATCTTTTTGTTTCACTTCTCAGGACAATTTCATTTACTCAAAGATCCCATTTTTCTTCTTTGTTTCAGGCTCTGAAATCCCTGATTACTCTCTAGAGATTCCCACATTTTCTCTCATTGAACTCCAAAATCCGTCTCCTTCATCAACTTTCTTTTCAATGTATAAAGAACTTATCTTTTTTTCACTTGATAGAAAACTATTCTATCTCCTCAAAATCCCATCTTTTTTCCTTCTTTGCTCTAATCTCTACAGCCCCATTTCCTCAAATCCCATCTTCTTCTTCTTGTTTAAATCTATAGAATCCCATTTCCTCAAAATCCCATCTTTTTTTGTTTCCCTTTGCTGCAATCGGTAAACCATTTTTTTTTTTGCTACTCATTCTTTTGACAATGAGTAATTCTCAAGCACCCAAATCAGCAAAGCCTTCAAAGGCTTCAACTTTACCTCCTTCTTCAAACCCTCCAAAACCCTCTTCACTTTCTTCTCACCTTGCAATGGTGGAGCTAAAACAAAGGATTTTAACCTCACTTTCCAAGCTTTCTGACCGTGACACTTACCAAATTGCCGTTGAAGATCTTGAAAAAATCATCCAATCTCTTTCCCCTGACTCCCTTCCCATGTTACTCAATTGCCTTTTTGATTCTTCCAATGATCCAAAACCGGCTGTAAAGAAAGAATCTTTAAGGTTACTTTCAATGCTATGTAACTGCCATGGTGAATTGGCGGCTTCCCATTTGACTAAGATCATTGCCCACATTGTTAAAAGGCTGAAAGATGCAGATTCTGGAGTGAAAGATGCTTGTCGCGATTCAATTGGGGCGCTTTCAGGGCAGTATTTGAAAGGGGAGAGTGGAGGGACTCTGGTGGGATTGTTTGTAAAGCCATTGTTTGAAGCAATGGGGGAACAGAACAAAGGAGTGCAATCTGGTGCTGCATTGTGTATGGCTAAGATGGTCGAATGTGCAGCTGATCCTCCTTTAGCTGCTTTTCAGAAGCTGTGTCCTAGGATCTGCAAGCTGTTGAATAATCAGAATTTTATGGCTAAGGCTTCCCTTTTGCCAGTGGTGGGGAGTTTGTCACAGGTTTGGTGCAATGTAGTTGTTTTAGCTTTGATTTTGGCCATGTACAATGCCTAACTCATAAGGATATTGATGATTGATATTGTTAGTTTGGTAGTTGTTAATGACAGGTTAAATGAAAATCTTTTAGTTTCTTCTCAAAGTTTGCTATGTGCTTGTTTACCTGGATGGTAATCGACATTGTGTTATATTTGATTGCGCAAATTAGGTAGCTAGGTGGGGAATAAATTTTATTACTTTGAAGAATTTCACAGAAAGGAACACATTGAAGTTCCGTAAAAAGATGATGACCTTGTTGCAGGTGGGAGCAATTGCACCACCGAGCTTGGAAGCTTTGCTGCAGAGCATCCATGAATGCCTTGGGAGCACAGATTGGGCGACGCGTAAGGCAGCTGCTGATGCTTTAACTGCCTTGGCACTGCATTCGAGCAACTTGGTTGCAGATAGAGCAGCTTCAACAATAATGGCACTGGAGGGTTGCCGCTTTGACAGGGTAGCTTTCTGGAGCCATTTCTCTTTAATATAATGTTTGTATTTTTACGCTCAATGCCATTATATAATTTGTGGATATCTCATTTTGGTACTTTCTGGACATCACTGGTGCAAGACCTTGTACTTCTCTTCTTTTAATGAACTGATCTGTTCTCTTGACTTAGGGCAGATTATGTGTTATTTCTCAACATAGGTTTCATTTTTTGTGGGATAAACTTGGAATAATTAGAATTCTTGGGTCTAATTGTTGTGTGGCAGAAGTGTTTAGGTTAATAGATGATGTGGGTTTGGAGTGGATGGCTTCATCTTTTCTAGATTGGTTTTGAAGGGAATTTCAGTTGGCGCATTATGATTTAGGAAGGAAGGATTTTGTCTGATTCTTTACTAATCAATGTAACTCATGCATTGTGGTCCTCTAAATGATGTTGCTTCTTAGTGTTTATCCTTCACTACCTTTCTAATGATGGATGTATATTACTCAACAATGCCATACGAAAAGTTTATTCTGTTGAATAATTTTGATCATTGGTTAAACAGATGAAACCAGTGAGAGATAGCATGACAGAAGCATTGCAATTATGGAAGCAGATTGCAGGAAAGGGTGAAGATGGAATTGCAGATAACCAGAAAGCCTTGTCTCATGGTAAGCATGTTAGTTATGTGCTTTTATGGGTTGCCCTTGTGAAGTTCAGTCCTTCTCTCTTATTTGATAAATTAATTACAATTGCTGCTGTAGATGGTGAGAATCCTCAACCAGTTGAATCGTCAGAAAAGAATGGCATGAAAAATCCAAATGCTGGTGATAAAAAAACAGATCCATCAGCAAAGGATTCATCTGATAATCTGCCTCCAACTTCAGATTCTGTTTCCAAAGGCAAAGGTGGAGGCATTCCTGACAAAGCAGTTGTAATTTTAAAGAAGAAAGCACCCGCATTAACGGACAAGGAGTTGAATCCCGAATTCTTCCAGAAACTTGAAACAAGGGGTTCTGGTGATTTGCCAGTTGAAGTAGTCGTTCCTCGCGGATATCTTAATTCTTCAAACTTGAAGAATGAGGAAGAATCAGAAACCAATGATCCAGACTCAAGAAGAAGGTCGAATTGTATGGGAAACTGCCAGGGAGATGATTTTAATTCATCTACCAGTATCAAAAACCGTAACATAGAGAGAGGAGTTGCTGGTGTGCGGGACAAATGGCCTGAAGAGAAGATAAATGGAAAAGACCTAAGAACAAGGGCATTTGATGCTGATGACAGGATAGATATAAATCAAAGGGAGCCATCTGGAAATCGTTTGGGTTTCTCAAAGGTGGATGGACAGTCTGAAGGGTCCTTCATCAGCAACAAAGGAAATTGGTTGGCTATACAGAGGCAGTTGTTGCAGCTGGAGAGACAACAAGCGCATCTCATGAATATGTTGCAGGTATTTCTCAGTTCTGCATTTAGGACATGCTTCCAGTGAGTGTTCTTCTTATTGATAAGATTCCTTGTTCTGTTGCAGGATTTTATGGGTGGTTCTCATGATAGCATGATAACTTTGGAGAACAGAGTTAGGGGTCTTGAGAGAATTGTTGAAGACATGGCTAGGGATTTATCAATATCATCTGGCAGGAGAGGTGCTAATTTTACGGTGGGGTTTGAAGGAGCTTCTAATAGACCTTTAGGGAAGTATAATGGGTTTTCTGACTATAGTTCCAAGTTTAGTGGGCGAATTCCATTTGGAGAAAGATTTGCCCAATCTGATGGAATTGGTCCAGGAGTGAGGGGAAGGGGACCTTCTTGGAGATCTGAAATGTCCGATGATTGGGATTTTCCTGCATTTGGTGCTTCCAGAAATGGGCAAGTTGGGTCAAGAAGAGCTCCAGCTAGCGGCAGCCTGGATGGTCGATCACCCAAATCAGAACATGAGAGTGATCAGGTTGGTGGGAGGAGAGCTTGGGAAAAGGGTCCCGGGCCTGTGAGGCTTGGTGAAGGGCCTTCCGCTAGAAGTGTCTGGCAAGCATCAAAAGATGAAGCTACTTTGGAAGCAATCCGTGTAGCTGGGGAGGATGGTGGAGCATCTCGAACAGGACGTGTTCCTGAATTGACTGCTGAAGCTGTTGGAGATGATAATGTTGGACCAGAGCGAGATCCAGTCTGGACTTCTTGGAGCAACGCAATGCATGCCCTTCAGGTAGGTGATATGGATTCTGCTTATGCGGAAGTTCTGTCTACTGGGGATGATCTCTTGCTTATAAAGCTAATGGATAGATCGGGCCCTATGGTTGACCAACTATCAAATGAGATAGCAAATGAGGCATTGCATGCTATTGTGCAATTTCTTCTGGAGCAGGATTTGTTTGATATCTGTCTATCCTGGATTCAACAGGTATGGTTCTTTATCTTGGATTATTTTAGTTCAAGCTGCTTCATTTAGACATTTTTTTTCTTAAGTTTCTTATTAGTTTTTATTTCTCCTGTAACTTTTCAGCTGGTCGAAGTGGTGTTAGAAAGTGGACCCGATGCATTGGGTATTCCCATGGAGTTGAAGAAAGAGCTTTTGTTGAATTTGCATGAGGCAGCTTCCACAATGGATCCTCCAGAGGATTGGGAAGGTGTGGCACCTGACCAACTTCTGTTGCAGTTGGCATCAGCTTGGGGAATTGAGCTGCAACAGTTTGATAAGTAATCTGCTGGTTTTGGAATCTTGTGTTGTGCTTGCAAACTTCTCGATAGGTCACTGGTTCAATACATTTATTTTACATGAAGTAAATGGTAAAAGAAAAGTTTTCAAACAGCTATGATGGCATGTGCTTGAAAAAAGATTGATTCAAAGCTGGCATAGGCTACTTATACATTTTTGTATGTAATGTAAGATAGTGGCCTTCGATGTAAATGTATACTATATGAGTGATATACCTTTTAGCCAAGAGATTTGCATGAAGAGATTATTTGTAAAGAGCAATATTACATTCATTTACTCAAAAACTTGCCAAAAGCACTTGGATTCCAATTGTGGTTGAGGCAATTGCTTAGATGTAGTTATTTCTTGACAGACTTCTACTTCCCCCAAAAAAAAAATCTTCAGAGACTTCTTTTTTCAACTATCAAAGGGGAAAGATTCTGATGCAGGGACCAGATTTTAATTCAACAAGACTAGGTCACTACATCTTCCACTTGAAATATTCAGTTAACTAGATTGGTATAGCAGCCACTCTGAACAAGTAGAACCAGAGTCTGCGATTGTGACAAATTGTCCTGACATCACTTGCAAACACTCCAGTGAGAAACTTTTGCAATTTTCATGGCTTCAGGTCATAACAGTTTTGCATATACATATGTTCCATGCTGATTGCTGATTTTTTACTCTAGTTGAGCCTAATTCCTAGGTGCCAAACAGGCTAAGCAACCAGTTTCTGCTATGCAAGTTTTTCTTCTATTGTCCATATTTTCTCTAATCAACACCATGCAACCAGGCTCAGATGTCGGATTTTACAAAGACAGGCAGTTCCAAAGGTTGAAGCTTGCTGATGCCACTTACCCTTTACATTTCCATTAGCAGTTACGACTATCTAGTAAGCACTACACAGAAGGAAACACAATCAAACTTTACCTTCATTTCTCACTTGGAAGAAAAAAGAATTAGCATTGTCAGAATTTTACAGGGAACTAACTAATGAGAACAATAAATTTTCTATACACATGGTGCTGCACTCTTATGCCCTCAAAACAATGCAACTAAAGCCTGAAAGCATGCTTCCATCCACAAAAACCCCGAGGGCCACATCACTGAACAGAACAGGAAATGCCACATCAACTCATGCTTCCGTAAGTAAAAGTCCTTAGATATTAAAGTACTGCAGTGGCAAAGAAAATGAGGATGATCTGAGCTCCAATATCACTCTTCAAGGGGCAAAAAGCATCTTGCAACACACTGTTTGAAGCCAAAATTTACATCTGTCTGAGCCAGAGCCACTATCTATTTGGCAGCATACCAATTTTGAGCACACTTGGCATCAACAGCTAGGTCAACTTTAAGAATGTTCTTTCCTTCTTCAAAGGGTTTTGACATGCACTCAACAACAATTGCCTTTGCAGTCTCAGCTGACTCACTTGGTCCTTCCAAGATTACTTCATCATGAACCTGTTTTCTGAAGGATGTTATTTCCAGAGAAATTGCAGGACAATGACTTTTTAAAGAGCCACATCAAAACAGTAGTTCGTGAAATGAATTTGTGAAGGCTGTACAGGACAGAATAGTGACTAAAAATTGTGAAATGCTTATATCGGTTGAAGAGAACACGTGAAAATTTGAAAATTAATACACATCAACCAATGCATGGGTAAACATCCGTGTCAGGTTCTTAAGGAGAATCTAAGCCTTCCTACATGCTATTGAGCAAAGATTATGCTTCAGTCAAACAAAAATCTTCTGAAGGAAACATCCAAACAACAGATAAAATGGCAATAATAATTACTATTTTGAGAGGTGAATATGCGTACATGAAAAGACAATCTTGTTTAAAAAATTTTGGAAGCAACAGAATGCAAAGTCTCTGCAGTGAAATCATAAGCCCATTTTTGTCCGATTTTTGAGAATATATTAAAGGTGGAAAAGAAGTGACTTTGCATTCCAGCAAGAACACATCAGACAGCACAAAAAAACTTATATAATGGTTTTGAAACCACTAAGAATCTTAAACCAATGTAGACCACTGCAATGAGAGAGATCACCCGAAAATAAAGAAAATATAAAAGGCATAACCTGTAAAAGAAGCCTCCACCCAAGCTCCTTTAGACGTTCATTCTTTGATATTTGTAACATGGCGCACATTGCAACATCAGCAGCACTGCCCTGAAACACTCATCTAGATGAGAGAGAGAGAGAGAGAGAGAGAGAGAGAGAGAGAGAGAGAGAGAGAGAGAGAGAGAGAGAGAGAGAGAGAGAGAGAGAGTTCATGAGGAAGAAAAGAAAACCTGCACTGGAGTATTGATAGCAGCCCGTTCAATATGACCTTTTTGAGCACGTGTAGCATGAGCATATGATGGGAAGAGACGAGCCCTTCCAAGCAATGTTTTAACACGCCTGAGTTTCTGAGCTTCATATTTACGCTGTTTCTGCCACTCGAGCACTTCTTGTCTTTCTTTATACCAGAGATCAACTGTGTTCTTTGCTTCTTCTACTGAAACCTGAGAGGTGCAATCGTCATTACCTTGAAGGCTTAATGAATTTTAACTGTTCTTTTAGGTTCTAAGGCTACCTTCCAATCCTTAGCAAGCCCCACAGGAGTTTTCCCATAAGCAATGGAAAAGTTGAGCATTTTAGCTTTTCTTCTTTCAGAAGCAAAGGCATCCTGAAAAAAACAATTTTCAACCCAGTTAGATTCAGCAATCAAAATCAATCTTAAATACAACAATACTTAGGTAATAATATCCCAAGGTCTGCACATTTTATATGAGCCACTCCAAAATCAATTTCCTGTTTCCCCAACATATTTTATATTCATATATGAATATGCTGAGCAAATCAGTAATAATGACAAACAATTTCAAAGCAAAACATCAGATACTTGTAACTTTCAAATAGCAAAAGCAAGTTTAGTTCATACTTTAATCACAGTCACAGATATGGCAAGACATCTCAGGATAAAGGTTAGAAGTTCAATATGTTTAAACAATGTTTTGGACAATTTCTAGCCCAACCCTTGTCATGAGATCATCATCTTTCCATACATCTTAGCCATGCAAAGTTAGAAATTTGATCCCTCCGTTCGTTAAGCAATAGCAGCAGGTGTTTTAGTAATGCCAAAGGCTTTGGTTTAAAAAAAAATATCAGATTCTTAGGCAGGATAGGGTAAGAGAAGTGCTATCAAGTAACTTCCATTTCTCTAAGATATCTCTGTCTGTAATCTATGTACTATTAACAGATCCAGAAGATTCTACCAAGCCAGGATGGTATATTTCTTACAACCTAGCTAGGAGGAAAACAGAAATTGCTGATGACAAATAAAAGTATTCAAACTGGTTTCTCTTTCTACCATTTCAGTGAATACTCAACTAAATTTGATTACAGATTTTACTATACCTTTAAAAGTGGAACTGGTGGTTTCTCTTCACCGGGTTGAGGATGCCACTCAAGAAGAACTTGCCTCTTTTCAACAGCTTCACGGATATGAGAGTACATGTTCATTGCAGTCCTTGAATGGAAATCTCCACCAGCTTTGAAGGCATCCAACATGCTTTTACAGTCAGCCAAATGGGCAAGAATCCTAAGTTCCAACTGTAATATGAATTCATATTCCAATCAATACATGAAATATAATGAAAAGGGAAGAAAGTTCAATCAACTTACCTGCCCATAATCTGCAACAATGAGGGAATTTCCAGGGGCAGCTACAAAGGCCTGACGTATCTTATAGCGGTCCTTCTCTAGTGCAGGTTGATTCTTGATTAAAAAATGCAAAAAAAAATTTAATATCATAAAGCTCCCATCCAAATATGGCTGGCAAGAGAAAGATATGCAAAGGAATAACAAAATTATCTATTCCTTCATGCCTCATCAACCATGCTTGTGTGGTAGAAAACTAGAACAATCATGTGATATGAATATTTCAGGCTATGGACATCGAAATTAGAAGCTTTCTTACCAACAGGGCTTTAATGGCATTCTATATAACAAAAAACATAGAGTATTTCATCTCAAGGAAATTTTGGTCTTCACTATCCGAGTGACATAGAATTATGGGCATCTAAAGAACCTTGAGGTTCTAATTATTCAAATGCTTGCTAAAATAATGGTAGAGAAAAAATCAAAAGAAAAATGAACCTGCAAATTTGGTCTCCTGGCAGATAAGCGCCCGGTTTCCGTATTGATATTCAAAGAACAATGAACACGCCCACTCTTGCCTGATACATTACTCCCCTGTGGTTAAGACAGATCATTCTCATTATAAACCATTCCAAGAATTTGACGGTACAAAATTAATCAAGAGCAAGGACATTATGATGAAGTTAAGGAAAAAATTATAACAATGCCTAGTTGATTTTATGACCATATTCAAACAATGAGAAGAGTCGCCCTTCAAAAAACACAAGCTTTTAAACAAATTTCTGCTTTTCTTCTTAGCCAAACAATTATTCACAAAGTACTGCATATACAAGACCACTTAGCACGTATTTGAGTTTCGAAACTTTCTTTATAGTTGCATACCCTTTTGGTTTTAGCCCTTTGCAATACACACAATTTTACAAATTCATTATCCAGCAGTGTCAACCAGTTTGCATGATCAAATATCGAACCAGCATTTCTATAGCTTCCTCTTTTAATGATGGGTTATAATTGACAGGAAAAGACATGGTGTCAATCATGCTGTCACCTTATAATAATATTCCAGGAGATAATGCAGCATATTTTGGTCATATGCACAGCTCTCATCATTCAATAGACAGTTTGACCAATGAGCCCTAGCACAAGTTCTCATTGAAAAAGAAAAATCCAAACATGATACTAGGGAGGAAAAGTAAGCCAGGCTGAGTAGTAAACTGTGAAAGCAGATCAACATGTATGACCAATTAAATGAGACATCAAAATCACCTGCAAGGGGAGAATGAAATTGGATATTAGAGAGTCAATAGAGCAAACTTCACATAATGAAGCAATTGCATGGCATGCCTCCCTTCCTTTTTCCTCATCCCCAAATGCTGCAAAAGCGGTTCCGTACGCAGATGTATCAACATCAGTCACCATTTCAGGACAATTGTTGATATCACCATCATTAGTATCATCTGTGAAATCATATTCTGCAGAAACCTTCCCAGCTAACGTCTTCAAAGCATCACCACTAACTGAGGGCCAACCAGTGGCAGTGTACATCTCAGCAGGGAGCTCAACACCTAGGCTATGCAGCTTAATACTGCGAAACTTAGTGGGAACCTTTTTGCCTTCTTCAATCACTTTATCAACATTGGGAACTTTGAAAGTTTTCTCAACAGGTAGACTCTCATTTGGATCCTTACTGTAACAAGAATTAATCAAGTTAATTATCAAGAACTTTACTTTCAAAATTTTCAACATACTCTCTCTCTCTCTCTCTC